CTTACTTACCTAACATACATGAGTTTAACGTTTTTTACTTTGAGTTAAAATTTTGTTTATTTATTGTATTGTATTTAATGTATTAGTTTGATTGGATAATTAATTTAATTTGAATAAGATAAATGAATATTGTATCTTTCATACAGTTTTTTAAAATTGTTTTAAGCTTAACCCTGGAATGTACCAATGTGATGTTTGTGTCAAAGTTTGTAAAAGTAAAGGAGGGCTGAAATTGCACAATTCTAAAAAACACCCTAACAACGATATAGCTACTGGAAATGCTAACAATTCGGAATTAAACTTTAACATCGAGATTTTGTTTTCATTAATACAAAATGTGTTTTGCAAGATTATGGAAAGCTCCTTTTATGGCAAACAAAATATTGAGCAAGTTGAAACTCTTCAGATTAATTTAGTAAAAGATGAGATTCAGTTTAATAGAATAATTGAAAGCTGCACTAAAATTTGTTCTAAAAGTTTAAACGAGTTTTATGCAAGTTATTTTGGAAACGTAGTAATCCATAGTAAGAAAATTTTAAATTGTGGTGATGATTATGAAGATGCTGCTACATTAGTATTAAGTAAACTTGCAGATAGTATATCAGCTTATTATAAAAAAAATATATCCATTGTTAATAACAATCAGACATTAATTACACCTATAATATGTGATAAGCAAAAGTATGCATTGCAATATCTTGGAGGTTATGTTATTCATAAAATTTTAAAAAAAATTCAAAATTCTCGAACTAATAATGCTCAACTACAACAAACAGTGTCTATATTAAAAAGCTGTCGAAATGAAACAAAAAATATAACTGACCAAAAGCTTGTCAACACTCTTAATCGTGGTGGACTTACTGCCATTACAATTGAGTTTGAACATATTTTATTTATAGCAGAAAAAATATTTCTTTTATATACAGAACAGTCCAAGCTTACTAAAAATATAGACATAGATTTTTTAATTAAAAAAACACTCTGTGATAAAGATTTGGATGAATATTACAGGATTATTATTGAAAAATGTGATTTGAAAATTGAAAAAGATAGTCAAAAATCTACATTGCCTTTAATGCTAGCTTTATATTTTCAAGTTCGATGTCATTCGTTTGCTAAGGACATTGTTAATAAGCATAAAGCAAAAAAAACAAAAACAGGAGAACAATCAAAGAAAGGATTACGCAAAAACATGAAACAATCATATAGACTAAAAGAAAACCTAAAAAAAACATAAATGTTTTTCGTTTTTTCTATTCTAAAAAAGTTTATTTTACAAAAGTAAAAATCGACTTTATATATTTGCTGTCAAAGAAAAGACTTGTGTTATTTGCTCATTTATATTCCTTTTATCTTTTTATTGTTGTATAATTTTATATATATATATATATATATATATATATATATATATATATATATATATATATATATATATATATATATATATTTATATATATATATATATATATATATATATATATATATATATATATATATATATATATATATATATATATATATATATATATATATATATATATATATATATATATATACACTTTAGTTTTGTTTACAAGTTTTGAATATGAAGACTAGTTATAAAATCATGTTTTTTTTTGTTTTTTTTTTGGAATTAAATCTTCAGAAATATTTATCCAAGCATTTTTGTTGTCATATGAGCCTCTAGTATTTCCAGTATTAAGCGAAACACTTTTTTGAATGCGTATTGCATTAGCATTATAGCCAAACTGTTTTGCGTCAGGGTTATCTGAATAGCGCCCAATTTTCCTTTAAGCACTAAAATATTCCTCAATTGGATCTTGGCAAAATCTACTTGTAAGAATATAAGGCATACCCTCACTTAGCAGAAACTTTATAACTTCTACTATTGAATTACATGTCATCATTAAGCCTTCATATGTCTGATGCGAAATAAACATTTTCGCTTTAGCCTCATAAGAGTATTGACAACCTGCTTTGTCTATTCTTTCATCAATAGATTTTTTCCAATTTTTAAAATATTCCAAAAAATCATTTAAAAGGAAATTAAACCGAGGATCCTTTTGGTCAGTGTATTTTTTAAGGAAAGGTTTCATTCTATGTTCTTCAATTGTTCTAGAATTAAGACAGTCAAAAAACATGTCCATTTTTTCACAAAACCGAGCTGTCTCTGTATGTTCTTCTGTTCCAAATGTTTTCAAGACAGATGATACAGTTTGACTTAAAATTTGAGCAGCTAGTTTGACAGTCATAGCAGAGTAAGAATTTATTTGAATATGCTCATTAGTTAATTTAGGTAAAAGTTTTAAACCATTGTCTAAATCTTCATAATACAATTGAGTTATGTGCTGCCACAATAAATACTTCCCGTCATTCCATAAGTAGCGCGTACATTTTCCGGCACCAGAATTTAACAAACAGTTTCGGGAAGTTTTAATCAAGTGTGGTGGGTCAGCAACAAAATAGATGTATCTAGATTTGGCATATAAATTTATTGTTTTAAAAATGACAGGAGTAATCATATCTCCACACATGTAACAGTGTAGTTTAATCATTGTTCTATTCGATGATGCGCCATCGGCTACAACAGAAACTAGATGAAGATTACATCTCTTCTCTAAAATGCATACTGAATCCCATAATAAACTAAATAACTGTACTGCTGTGGCAGTGATGGTTGTAAAATATGCAAGCGAAAACTTAAGAGATGTTGCAATACCACGAACCATGAAAACAAGGGCATGAGAGGCAAGTTCACATTTTTGTAGTGTAGCAAAGTTTAAGTCTGGGTTTCCCAAATCAACAAACCCAATCAGCTGATTACTATTCTTATCAAAAACCAGATTAGATTTAATTGACATCTCATCAATAAGAAGCACAACATATCTTTCAATATTTGTATAATGTTTAGTTTGTCTACTTAACTCCTCAACAATGCTATCCTGATACCCAACTTTCGGTGGAATATAATTTTTATAATCTCTGAGTGTTCTCAGGCTTGGCAACACAAGTATTTTGCTATTTCTAATTTCTTGGTATGCAGAAGGTGATTTTGATGCAATGGATAAACAGTACCTTATTATCATTGGGTGATACCTAACTCCTGATGAGGAAACTCTAAACAACTTTTTTTGTTCTTGCCAAAACAAATTCATAAAGTCACTAATATCATGTTTAGCATCAGAGATAATTGAAAGAAAATCATTATGTAATTCACTGTCCATCATCACACTTGAGCTAATAAGCTCTTCTTGCATTGTTTTGATCCTAGCTTGCAATTGTGCACATTTCAGACGATGCTGTTGAATTGTTAATTTAAGTCTTGATGGTGAGGTCAAAGAGATAGGGACATTTAGTTTGGCTGGCTCATTGTGTCTCTTTTTTTTTTTCTTTTTTAAATAAATAACTGATTTGTTTGTAAATATACATTTTTTACATCTGCTTGAGTCTTTAAGTAAAATGTCACAGTTAATATTTCTGTAATATGACATACATTGGAATGGAGATGTTTCTGTATCCCAATAATGTGGATTGTTTTTAAAAGGTATACAATGGTGAATGGTACTTGATGTCTTTTCATGAATTGGTACACCTTCACATAACTGATTACTTTCAAGTAAAGTAATTAAATTTTTTAATGATATATTTTGCATACTTCTTTTGTAAATTTTGTAAATGGTATGACTTTCAGGAAGCATCCATCCATATACAGACAAACTATATCCTAAACTATCATCTATGATTATTTCAAATTCTGGAAGAACAAGCTGATTTGAACTTCTTTTTAAAACACTTATTTCATTTTCTTTTACATCTGTTATCCAACCATTCAAAAGTTTTAAATTTCGTATTTGAAATTCTATGTCTTTAAGTTTAACATAGCATTTGGTTGATATTTTAGTTGTAGGTTCAATAGATTTCCTTGGCATTCTTTTTTTTGGTAAAGTAGTGATACAACTTTTTATGGGAAGAAATAGACTTGGGATAACTCCATTTTTCATTATCTTTTTTGTCATTTTTGCACCAATGTCTTAAAAAAAATAGTTAATAAATATATATACATATATATATATATATATATATATATATATATATATATATATATATATATATATATATATATATATATATATATATATATATATATTTTAAACATCTTCACTTCCAACAAGGCTGCAAGCAACCACTATAAGAGTTGGAAGTTACTGGAAGAGAAAAGACTAAATCTGTAGAGCAAGATAACGATTGACTGATGACTTAAAAGATTGCAAATTATATGAATCAGGAAAGCAAGATGAAGGAAGCGAATTCCAAAGAACTGATGTTCGAGGAAAAAAACTAGAAGAATAAGAGTTTTTGAAGCACTTAGGAACAGTCACAGAAAAAGGATGAGACTTAATTGAATGGCGAGTAACACGAGAATGAATTTATATATATATATATATATAAATTATATATATATATATATATATATATATATATATATATATATATAAAATATATATATATATATATATATATATATATATATACATATATATATATATATATATATATATATATATATATATATATATATATATATATATATATATATATATATATATATATATATATATATATATATAAATTTAAAAAAAAAAACACTTGTGACATACGTATTTCAAAATCATCTGGCTTAAAGTGCTTTTCACAAGCAAAGACTTTCCCAGAATTGATTTGCATTTTAAATTGTTGGTCAATCACACGCCCTTTTGTAATTGAATTTAACCATTCAGATCGCCATTTTTGATGAGCAGGATCTGCAGAATTTGAATGAGGAAGTTTAAATATTCCAACACCTTTGGTTCGTCTTGAAGTACCACAGTTTGTTATACTGCAATTATCTCCAGGCATATTTTGCTTTAAAATTAACACTGAATAAATATCTAATAACCAAAAAATCAATTACAAACAATCACTACATATAATATATAGAATGTAATAACTATTAAAACATATCATAATGACTTCCTTGCTTTATATAACAAACTCTTATGTTACTATGCAGTAATACTCAATAGTAAAGCATTTTATATTTGTAGAATACAATGAACTAAAATAAGTACTTTTTCCTTCATAAATATTTGTAAATCACCTGTTTAAATATAATCTGACTTGAAGTACATCTCCAGACTATCAACGAGTTTATAAAACAGTATTCAGTTATTTAATTTGCTCATTAATCTTAATGAGTAAACTAACTAAATGAATTTCTAATTTATACTCTAATAAAACAGAAAACGTGTTTGTTTCATGCTCACAATCCGCAATACATTAATCATTTTATTATCTCTAAAAATGCTATCTTTAAAAAATAGTTTAGAATCTATACTAACAATTTTACTTTTATTTTCAAGAGTTTATTTAATGAACTTCATGCCAAAATCAGATATTGTTATAAGCGTTATACAACGTTAATAAGTTTGTGTGCACGGTCACGCTTGATTTACGCTCTATTTTTGTGTCAATAAGTTAAACAATGACTTTTACGGAGTTTCCAAACCATTTAAAGTCTATTAACTATGGTTCTGAGTAGTAATTTCTTTTTAAGTTTTTACGTATTTTTTCAAATAGATATTTGTAGTTTTTGTATATATTTTTTCGCTAGCAGATGTTTTTGTTTTTAAATATTTAATATACAACTTCTGTTTAATTTTTGACGATTTTTTTAATCCCTTCGTAATCCAGGGACTTTTTGAGCTTTTGTTAATTTTTATTATTTTTTCAACAATTGGAAAATTAGCGTCGTAAACAGAAAACAATGTTTTATAAAATGCTTCGTAGATGTTATTTGCATTGTCATTAAAATCAATATGATTCCAATGGAGCAAAGATAGTTGATCTTTAAACAGCTCAGTTTTTTTGTTTAAAGACACGTTTTCTTACAACTGTAGGGGTGTTAATATTTTTTTCTAAATTTGAGTTTATAATAAGGAATATAGGAAAATGATCGGATATATCAGTTTTTAAAATACCTTTTTGAATATCTTTATTAAAAATATCAGTTGTAATGATATTATCTATTAGGGTAGCCGAGTTTATTGTTACCCTAGTAGGGCGATTAATTAAGGGTATAGACCCCAGGGGCGGATCTAGCTTTTTTTTTGAGGGGTGCTGGCAAATATGTGCTGTGCTGCGACGATGATTGGTTTTTCCATTAACCCCTCCCCCCCGCGCTTTTCGGGGGGCGGTTGAGTGTATGAAAGGGGGTGGTCATAAAAAAGGTTTTTATAAAGTACGGGGGACGGGGTCACCCAAAAGTGTACAAGTTTGTTTAAGAGGTGTTCAAGGCAACGAATACGTATGTAGTTTGACTATATTTTTCATCAACTTTTTTAAAATATTCAACCTCCTTTTTTTAACAAATGAAAAGGCTAGATCCCTCAGGGTCTTTTACCTGTCTGCCCGTCATTTTATACCCTATAAATTGCCCGTATTTTGATTAAATAATCAGATCAGAAAGGTTATAATTCTTATAAACATATCAATTTTATGTACATAATAATACTTTGTGTGCAAAATAATGCAGCGACTTTATTTTATTAGCAGTAATCAACTTTTATATCAATAACAATTCAATAACAGGGTTACCACTAATAAAAATGATAATAAAAATAATTAATCTCGCCTGCCGAATAAACGAGAGGGGACGTTTATTAATTTTTTTCCGACCCCTTGGAGCTTATTAGTAACCTCCCCCCCCCCCCCATTACTAATTTTGAAACAATATAAAATATTTTTGCAATTTTTTTACTTTGAGAAAAATATTTCTCTCAATAATAGATGAAAATATAAACAACCAACCAAAAAAATTATTTTAAGACGACCCTTCGGTTCATTAAAACTCCCCCCCCCCCCCTGTTTATTAGATTTTAGAAAAATTTCCCACCTCTTATTTATTAGGACAACCCCTCCCCCGTTTATTCGGCTTACAATTACAGGCGAGAATATTGTGCGAAAGTAATTTTGTGTACATAAAAATATTTTGTATGCAAAGTAATGCGGAAACTTTTTATTGGCAGTAATCGACCGTTATACGAAGAATCAATCAATAATAATACAATAATTTCATGAACCCAAACAATGAACACACAACTTATTTATTATCTGTACGACATATAACATAAACTAGAAATAGCATAAGAATTGAACAATAAAACCCAGAAATGTTTAAAGTAAACAAATTTCTTACCCTAACTGTACTAAATTTCTTTTTCTAAACTGTTAGCCTATGACCAATAAAGTAAATTTCAAATCATGAAACTTTACTAAATTAAAACCATATTTCAACAGTAGGAAAACTAAAAAAAAAAATAGTAGAATAGTTACAAAATGAAGAACTGATAAAAAAAACTGTTAATAAAATCTAGTTTCAATGAAAATCAAAATTTGCTTCTAATATGATCTTTAAACAGAAACCTGAAAATATATAAAGTAACCATCAAGTTTAACTTCTAAAAACACCTGTGTCATGCACATTATATTGCAATTATAACACAATTGTATTACAACTCACTATTAAAAATAATTATTAATATTATTATATAATAAATTTATGCACAAAATATATAATTATACATAATAACTATTTATAAATTGTAACAACAACAACATTAATAATAAACTTTTACACTAAATACATTAATAAGAGTGAATAGATTTAATAACATTATATAACACTGGTTATAAACAAAATTATGTAACAGTAATAAAATAAGTTTCATGATGTTCTGAGTTTTATGATATTCTGTAATAACAGACTTATTTTTAAATCCAGATATAATTTATCTTTAATTATAGTTAAACTATAATTATAACTATCAATAATGCTAATTTATTAATAATGAAAACTTTATAATTATGTCTGATAACTCAAACTTTTACTAAGTCAGATTTTCAATTCCCAATGAACTTTCTATACATACCGAGAACTTCCCTAACTCTGACATTCGCCAAGTCTGACTGTTTATCTATTCTTCTTGAGAGTCAGACTTAACAAGATTCTACTGTATATATTTTTTGAAGTAAAATTTCATGCTTAAAAAATACAAAAAAAAAAAAACTGCAGAACTTTCTAGGACCTCTATTTAAATTACATAATAAAATATATAAAACAGTAAATAATATATTTATATTATATTATTAAATAAAACAGTTTAAATTGGATCAGAATTTAATATATCTACAAGTTTCATTCTACGAGGATTTTTCCTAGCAAAACAATTAATCACTTCCTTCACATCAATGCTGATACCTTGGTGAATATGCATTAAAGCAAGACTCTTAAATCTGTGACATTGTGTTACGTAGAAACATTTTTAAACGTAAGTGCATGTTGTTATTGGAATAGTTGCAGGAATTTAAATTAAGGTAAATATGTAAGGAAAAGTTATTCTATCAATAAGAGTAAGGAATTTGGTTAGAGAATAGGAATTTTTAAAACTACGCTAGTAATCTTCCCACATGTTCTATTCGGTCATGATACAGCGTGGTTCCGGAAGTTCATCCTCACACTCATTTAAAAAAAGAAGAAAATTGCTTCTCCATTTAGCAATATTTAAAGCGTATGTTGGCATTGCAAAGAATCCATTATAAATGTTTCTATTGCTATAAATGGTCAAGAAAGGGAATTAAAATAACTTTCTTGTAATACTCATTAATAGATTCACTAGGACAATTATTTTGATTAAGCTGTTTTCCTATTGTACGAGGCTTGTGCTCATAAACACTAACACTAGCTGTCAATACAACTAGTGTTAGTGTTTATGTTTATGCCTCATTATACCAAGCACCATGACTGTGTTCAATGTCTGAATTTAGTCGCTGTAAAGAAAGATGTAACAAATTTACTTTTTCATGCGATGCAAAAGCATCAAAGTTTGGAGATTGAAATTGTTTTGTAATTGGTCTTGTTACTTCCAAACAGTCGGACACCACTACTAAAGTAACAAGAAACTGGAAAGATCTAGTAGCAAAGAAATAACTATTTCCATCACGCACTGAGTCATGATTCCAAGACTTTTTATTGTTATTAATCATTAGGTCAAAACATTTAATTATTAATAGGAAGTACCTCTATAAACACATCTAAACCATTAATTCTGCAATCTATTTTTTGCGACATACATTTATTAGACGAGAGTGATGAGCTTTTGGAAACATTTCTTCATTTTTTTTTCAGAACTTCAAAACGCTTAGGACTAAAATTAAAGAACTAAGATATAACACGAACATTTGACATCATATTGCTAACTATTTGTATGTTACAGGCATTTGCAACACAAAGATTGAGGACATGAGATCCACAATGAACTTACAATGCTTTTGGTTAAATAGTTTTTATTCTTACTGCAGCACCGGAACAGTTCCCAGCCATTTTACCAGCACCGTCACAACCTTGACCAACACAGATATTAATTTCAAAATAGATTGAAGATTGCCAAAGTTACTATTTTCATTCTCATAGTAAAATAAATCATCTCTGTGACCTCGGAGAGATATGTTTTGTTTTCCACACATAATAATTGCCAGAACTATTGGTTTAATATTTCTCTATTTTTCTTGACTTGTTCATTAGAGTTGCAGTTTGGTGAATTGGTGAACTTTCAGCATGTTTATTAAACTTATTAATGGCCTTTATTTTGTGTTTCAGTAAAATTGTGTTCATGCTTAAATATATATACTTAAGCATGAATACAATTTTACTAAAACAAAGGTTTTTTAAATTTGAGTAAAATGCCTATACATGATTTCTTAATTTGCTATTATTTTAAATATTAATCAACACAACACACACACACATACATAAATACTTCGTTTGTTTTTTTATTATATTATAAAAATTTTATTTATAATGTATATTTTTTTATTTTATTATAATTATTTAAGAAACAAATCATTACCTCACTGGTTGAAAATCACTTGCTACTCGAAATGATTGAAATACAGAAAACTGCAT